GAGAGAGAGAGAGAGAGAGAGAGAGAGAGAGAGAGAAACTGGCTCATGAAAATGTAAATACTATGGAAGAATGCCCTGAGTCTCTTAAAAACCCAGTATATTCTGAAGGGTTAGCTTGAACAAGCAATTATGGGTTTGTGTAAGTTTCTGATTATACACCGTTATCCTCTAGGTATAGTCCATTAGTTTTAGTGTAAAAAAGGGCTTACAGGAGAGATTTTTCTAGATATGTTGACTAATTTCAAAACGAGTAGTTAAGACAGAAAAAAATGGAACAAAGAAAAACAGACCTTATAAAAAAGTACTCCTCCCCAGGAACACTTAAGCCTTAGGGTTAACAGGAATGGTTAACAAAACACGTTGGTTCATACAGAGATAAAAAAAACTACACACATACCACAGAAACTTTTACTACTTGTTAGGCTTGTACTCTATATGTTTTCCTACTAGAGTAGCATGAAATATATTTAATATATGTACAATGGCCTTCCTGATGCTAGCGGAAAAGGAGACAAGACAAAGAAATCCCTATCTTATGATTTACTACAAGCTTTTTTTGATGACAGAGCAGAAACTGCCCAAGAGAGAAGTCAAATGGGGCAGAAGGTTCAAAAGACAAGGTTCAGTTAAAACAATCTCAAAAGATGTGAACAGAAGATTACAAGAGTAAAGGAGCAAAAGCAGCTCTTTTTAAGTCCTGTCTGTGAAGCAACATCAGGGACATTTCAGTCTCTGCTGCCTCTTAATTATTTAAGTTGGAATCATAACATTCACACCAGCAGACACAGTCCCAAGCTTGGGCCAAGTCTTCTTTGAATCTTGTGGATAAGGGAATTCTAGCAAATAGCTTGGATGGCTTGGTGTGAAGTCAGTCCTGTTACTGGTTCTGCTTCTCTTATGTCCCAATTCAAATATATAAGAACATGTCTGCACTTGCTTCTTCTCACCTGTAATCCCACAGGTTTGGCTCTGGCCTCTAAATGCTGACCTCACACCTCAAAGTCTAGGAATTCTATTCATTTTCAGAATCTTAATGTCTATTCCAAACCACTGTCCCTTGTTGGCTCTCCGAAATTCTAACATATTATTGTCCTAAGTACCTTCTATTTCTTGTTTTTTCATCAAGTTTACTGGTACTTTTTAAGTATACAGTACAGTTACATTTATCAATGGATCTTGTACCCTTATATTTCAGATCTTGGTTCTCATTTTTTCCCCATACCCCTACCCTTCCTTCACCCCCTCCACCCTCCCCTATTTACAAAGACTTTGTTTCCATTTTTTTCATTTTCTTGTATTTTTTCTTTCCTCATTTCCCTTCCCCTACCCTTCCCACTTTCCCTACACCTTTAGCCCTTTTCTTCCTATTTCATATTGTCAGTTATACAATTTGGATATTATTTAAACTTTTAGTTTTTCACACCAGAGAAACTATTCGGTATTTAAACATGTGTGTCTTATTTATTTCCTATACTACAAAGCCACTGTGATTAAAAACAGCATGGTTCTGGCAAAGAAAAAGACCTGAGGATCAGTGGAATTGATTCAAAGATACGGAAACAACTCCAGACATACTCAGCTACCTCATCTTTGACAAAGGAGCCAACCATCCTCAGTGGAGGAAAGATAGCCTCTTTAGTAAATGGATTTCAACCTGCCAAAGATTAAAACTAGACCCTTATCTTTCACCATGCACTAAACTAAAATCCAAGTGCATTAAAGATCTAAATATTAAAACAGAAATATTAATCCTGCTGGAAGAGAGATTAGGTAGAACTCTTGAAGACATTGGCATAAGAAAAGACTTTATGAACAAAATCTCGGCAGCACAGGAACTAGCACAGACAATCAATAACTGGGATCTCATCTTATTAAAAAGCTTCTGCACTGCAAAAGAAACCACCAACAGAGCTAAGCACCTTCTATTTCTTATTCATTCCAGACAAACTGTTCTCCCTGGCTGATTGGACTTGGTCTTGTCACCTGCTTTGTGAGATAGCCTAAGCCAGTGACGGTGAACCTTTTAGAGCTTGCAATGATACAAACAGCCTACTGTGAGGGCAGGGATGTAGTAGCTCGGTGGCACACACTGTGTGGCAAGCACAAGGCCCTGAGTTCCACCCCTGGTGACAAACAGCCTACTGTGGCACATGTGCCTCAGGTTCACCACCAGTATCCTAAGAAATCTGACTCACCTGTCACTGTTTATGCTTCCAACTCCAAGTGTGCCTGGTCTAGTCTTCCCATCACTGAACACTACCAGTTCTAGAAAACATGCTAAGTAAGAATATGTTCCACAGAAACACACAGAGAAACAGGATTTAGCAGATGAAAGAGCTCTGTGATTATCTCCAGAAGGAAGTGATGCAATTTGGTAGTTCAAGAGTACCCTGCACGCGATCCATGTAGAGCTCACATGGTCACATGAAAGATGTGTGGTGTTGGTTAAGGATATTCAGTATATGACAATACATGACAGGATCTGCCAAGATTTAACTGTTATTGATTTCTCAGAGAATGAATGGATTCACAAGGAGATCTCTGAAGTATAAAAATGTAGAAAGGCAGCATTCCCTTCTCCTCTTGTATGAGATGACTAATTTGGGAAGAGTTCACTATACAGGTGGCTTTGGCTTTCTTGGATATAGCCAGGCCTTACAGTGATGGGCAAGAGATTGATTACAATTAAACAAAGACCAAAGCATTCATTTGGCAGGAGACTTGCCCTCTGAAAAAGAAAACTTTAAATTCAATTCTAAGAGAGCAAATAAAAGAGCTCAGAGAATCCCGGCAAACCAATAGTCTGGAGAAGACTGTATGATAAAGGAAGAAGGAGATACTGAAGGCTATCTAGTAAAACTTGGGTAATAAGAAAGGAAATAAGGAGGAAAAATCATCAGTACAATCCTTAGGGATTTATATAGCTCCAAACCACAATAAAATGTATGGGTGACATTTGAAATGCTATCACAGAAAGGTAAGTATGAAGCAGACACACACAGTTCTTCAAATGAGGCACATATCAAATACTGGAATAACAAAGATAACTGGTAGACCAAGAGTTTGTGTTCCATCAAGAAATTAAATAAAGCCAGGAGTGGCGGCACATGTCTGTAATCTTAGCACTCTGGGAAACTGAAGCAAGAGGACTGCAAATTTGGAGCTAGCCTGAAAATTGAATGACTTAGTGAGACCTTATCTCATGGCAGGGAGGCAAAGGAGAAGAAGAAGAATGAAGATGTGTTGTGTACATTTATCAAGTCCCCATGATGAGTGTAATTGTTACGTACTGCAAACAAGTACTAAAAGAACTAACATGAATGCCCGGGAATGTAGCTCTGCGCAGGCCCGGGGCTCAATCCCTAGTACCATAAATACACGTAACAGGAGCAATTCACTTTTGAATTCTCCTTGTTTGTTCCGAGTAGCTATCTGTCATCTTTCTTTTCCTCTTTCCCCATCTTCAAATAAATTCTTACTTTAAAAAACAAAATACATATATATTCATATGTATATAAAAAAGAGAAAGAGAAAGATAGTAGATATAAGTGTATACACACTTCAAACCCATACATAAATTTATGAAGCAAAGTGTAGAAACACAGGGAATACTTGAATTAGGAGAAAAGGGGGAAAAAACCGCTAGGCAAGTAATCACAGTACACTACAAATACTTTGGTATATTTAACTGCAGCCAGTGTTGCTGTAGCATTTTAGGCTATCTGTTAAAAATTCATATAAAAAATTTTTTTTAGGTACTAAGGATTGAACACAGGACCTTACACATGCTAGGCAAATGCTCTATCTTAAAACTTCAGCTCCAGACCTTTTCATTCATTCATTTATTGTTTTGAAATAGGGTCTCACTAAGTTACCCAGGTTGGCCTTGAACCTGGGATGCTCCTGCCTCAGTCGTTGAGCATACAAGTCTGTGCCACCATGCCCAACTGTTAAAAATTGTTTTGAAGCCAGGTATGGTGGTACACGCCTGTAATCCCAGCACTCAGGAGGCTGAGGCAGGAGGATCGCCTCAAGTTCAAGACTGACCTGGGCTACAGTGAGACCATCTCA